TAACGTTTCGATCCATGCGGGTCGAGGTGTTACAATTCTCATGTACTCACCATTTTCCCTGCTGCTCGCAGGTTAGATCGGGTTGTTAGTCGGATGGCGATGAGGTGCAGTCGTTGTACCACGATTTATGGGACTTAGTGAAATAATTCGGTGTGACGTAAGGCTAGGCAAAACTCCCTAATTGAATCGGACCGAACCAAGCGGTTCTTCTTAAGTTAAATACCCGAACGAATATCTGAATCAAGAACCGACAAGTTAGGTTTGGTTCTCGAGTCTAAATCAAGAATTGAATAACCAAATCTCCCTAATTTTTTAATTTATTTATTTTAAATAAATCAAATTATTTTATTTTTTAAATAAATTTTCTAACTAGTTAATTTAGTTCAAACCCAAAAATATGATTTTCCTATTTCTAATTTTCAGTCCAAACCCAACTTAATTAAATTGACCTAAATTTTATCAAAATCTTTTATTCACCGTAGTGTCGTTTCTACTGTTTTGGTGAAATCAAATTGAAGCTTGATAGCTCCCCTCTTAGTTACTATAAGTTCGCTATTGTCCTCTTCATGTGATTTTAACAATCAAATCTATGAAGAATTTAACAAAGAGAGACGAAGAAGACATAAGATTGGACTACGGTATTTTGTAAGAGCTAAGATTGAACATGTCATTAGTTATATTAATGTAGCCTCATAAATATTAAAAATTAATTATAGCACAGAACATGGAAATCGAATGGAACCAAACCGAATCGATCTGACCTGAATGGAACCAAACTTGAAGGTTTCATAATTAAATTTAGACTCGATGGTTCCACTTACTAAATAGCCAAAATTTTTGGATCCAGATCGATTTTCGTTAGAACCGAACCAGAAAATGCCCACCCCTAGTGTAACGTGCCTTAAATTCTAAATTTTAGTAGTAACCTTAGTTTATTAATTTATTGAACTCGTTCATTTAATTTGAAATCCAGGACAAATTTTTTCGGACATGTAATTTCGTACAATGACTTGAACATTTTAAACTTGTTTTTGGGTATTTTGTGTTTTCCTTGCTATTTAACTTTTTAGCATAAGTAATCATGTTAAATTGGAAAGTTAAACATAGAGCAGCCTTGGGAATAGATTTACAATTTGCCATACTTGTGTAATAAATGCAATGTATGATAATGATTTTAAAATGGGTGAATCTTGAGGCCATGTCCCACTTACTGAAGAAAGAAAAAATACATTATGCCTTATTGTCCAAGGAAGTTGATATTCTTGGTATGATTTAATGCAGATTTGAACCAATTATGGGCGACCCGTCATATGCGTTGTGTCTTTGTACTTGTTGATGAAAAAAGAGAAGGTTATATTTGCACTTAACTTTATATATATATATATTAAGAGTCAAATGGTAATTATTATACACTTGTAAAATGATTTTGCCTCCAATTCTTAATTAGCAGATTAATTCTATGTGATCTTTCCAAATGTATACGTTTAAGATATGTCATAGGAAAATATGCTTTATTTTCTTTTAGTAATTAATATATAAATTATTTTCTACAAATTTTGAATAAACTACCATTTTATAATTATATATATTATTGCATGCCACGTTGTTTAAAATTTAAATGAAAATTTTGATAACGATTCAAATCTTGAGAAAATTTGGGTCATTATCTCTTGCATTCCTTGTTATACCTGCTTCCTAAAATAAAAAACTCAAGTACCCAGTGTAAAAGTACATGATATAGGATATGTAACAATTGATGTTCGTAATCATAAATGAGCATGCTAGTTTGAGACGTGACATTAATGTCAATCAAAACACCAACTGAAACATTAACATCACCAAACATCAAAACTCAAACAGTTATGCATAATATGGTATGCAATGTAATGCAAATTCTCCCCCTCACTATGAACTCTAAACATTTTTATGCAGTATCAAAATGTATCTCTGGCTCTTCCCAATGAGCTCTAGACATACAATGCACATGTCAATGCAAATTCAATTTCAAACTTCTCCTTCTATGTATATTCTCTCTCTCCCTTTTTGTCACAAATGGTGAAGGGTGTAATTTCAAACTCAATTTTAGCAACGACATATAACAACTTAAAAATGCTGTTGATAATGTGCACAAGTATAATCAATGATTCGTAAACTTTTCCACATACTCATTTTAAGTTAAAATGGATTAAATTGTATAAGAGACCCATGTGTGTAAAGTGTCACTAATCCTTTGTAAGTAGGGCTCGAAGCCTTAATTTTGTGAGAAAGACTTGACAAGGTCAAACCATTAAGCACTTTAGGACCTTTAAGTGAAGTTTTTTTAATATAAAGTTTCTTTTCTTTTCTCTTCCTAATTGAGAGCATTTATATCTTTTTCACATGCTTCAATATTTTCAAAACTCATCAATTTTTACATCTTAAATGCAGGTCACTCTCCTTCATTAAGCGACTAAGATATCCGTGTAGGACTGTTAATCTAATTCAGTTGACCATAAGAACAAGATTTTGAGACACCCTGCAAGCCTAATTGCTTGAATCAAATAGGCTCCAAAAAAGAACATAAGATCAGCCTTTTATTATGGGGGGATATACTTGGGTTTAGGTCTAACAAATTTGGTCAGTTCATATTCAAAGTTACCTTACTAACAATGATTGTCATCCCAAATCTCACACATGCAATTCTCACTTACAATATCATATTGCGTTCTATGCGGATGGTGCATGAAGACACTTATACTAAGTACTCTATAGCAACCTAAGCATGTAACGTCCCAAATTTTAACAATTTAAAATCGTTACGAAAACCTTTATTCTATAATAATTGCAAAATAAAAAAAGTCTTGCTGATAAAATGTCTGTGTTTTACCTCTTATTATCTCAAAAATATAAAGATAGAATTGCTACAAATATTTCAACAAAAATTGTATGTTTGTGTAATGGACAATTTACTATAGATTTTTGGAATTCACGGTTTTCTCGACAGTTTTAATATTTTTCTCCATAACAACGGAAACTGCAAGCATTAGAATTTTCTTGTCTTGGTGTATCACCAGTGGACAAATATTGACATTTCAATTGGAGAAATTCATTATCCACTAAACAAACTTATTCACGGTAAATTCAAAGTTTTCTAGTTCCTTCTATAAAATAAATAAAACATATGGAAAACATGATTAATCGAAACATGTCCCAAATCCTAAATAGAAAATTTCACACGAAAAGAAAAACTAGAATAACGCTAAAAATAAAAGTACATAGTCATGTTACTCATAATTTATTTATTTTGAATTTCATAATTTCTGGAATCACGACTGCACCGCCTTTTTGCCTACTAACCAACGACCCATTCTAATTTGTGAGAAGTAGGGAAAAGAGTGAGTACATTAGAATACTTAGTAGGACATATAAATATTACCGGTGCAATCCTGAGAATAAAATTTTAAACACATGTATGAGAACGTTATACGGTCTCATATCTTTAGAAACCTTTAAGAACTCATATCACATCATATCATTTGTACCAAAATGATCATATCATTCATATGATATCATATTTTAGCTTTTATGAGTACAATAATTCATCAACATGAAAAAAATAATTAAACTGGATAGAATACACTGCACTTCGATATCCCATCAATATGAAAAAAATAATTAAACTGGATAGTATACACTGCACCTCGATATCCTACCTTGATAACTTGCTTTAATTTTGAAAGACAAAAAAAAAAATCACGTTCCCCTTTTTTTGCCTCTGCTGTGTTTATTGTGCATGTATATAGTTTTTTGTATGTGTCCCCTCCATTATACATGCATCGATATACATAGTCAAATAATAACTTACCCTCAAAAGTTGTCACATAGTGGGAAACTTGCTGAATATGGTGGGTAATTGGATAATGTTGAAGAAATAGAATTTGAAACAGAATGTTGGACCAAGTCTAAACAAAGTAAGATTTGTACATTTGTCAATTTGCAACGCCAAATTAAACATTTCCATACACGTGCAGTACCTCCACTTATATTCAAAGTTATAATTAAATAAAAGTAAGATGGCTTTTAAAAATTTCTTCAAACTGCAATATTTTGGAATTGAATTATCTGAATCGACTTTTTCTCGAGCCTAAATTAGATAATTAATTACGATCTATCAAACGAGCCCAAGATTTATATACTTATTATTTCTCTACCAATATCTAAATATTTGAAATAATTAAAATTGTAATTTAATATAAATAACACTTTTAGTCCCTAACATTTCAAAATATTAAAAATATAACATAAAAAAATATATCTCTATTCTATGAAATTTTGGGACTTTACAAAGCAAGTACTGGAAAATATGCTACAGCTCATCAATTTTGACTATACATGATCACAACTTACAAGTTCAAGAATGTTATATATCATGTTGTAGTAAAAATTTCCATCTCCCCCATTTTTTTCAATTTTTCAAATTTTTTTTATTAAGAAATGAATGTGCCACAGACAAAATAAAATGAATGTCAAACAACTAAACAAAACAAAATGTCCATGTGCCAATGCAAACAGAATGAAAATGCACATGCAAGAAACAACTACCTAAAAAGCAATCTAACAAATGTGATGTATGTACAAATCAATCACACAGAATAATAAAGTACAAGCATTCCTTGCAAATAATAAAGCAAACTAACAGATGTGATGCATGCATAAACATTCTTTGAACGTTGCTAATAACTTTTTTGCAACGTTCTATAAACGTTGCTAATAAAAAAATTTTGCAACTTCTTTTGCCTGTTGCCTATACTTAAATCCTTAATTTTTGCAACATATTTTGATCGTTGCCATACGTCTCTCTCTTTTTCATTTTTGATAATGTTTTTTAACCATTGCATAGGCAATACGCACACAAACAAACAACAATTTACACAAATTACCCAACAAAACTGATTATAATTCTTCATGACGAATTTTTGAATCCACATAAAAATGAACCAAAAGACATCAATAAAATAAAATTCAATAGTTTAACCAAATAAGTCAATTTTAGTACAAAATTAGCTTCAACAACTCTGATGTCAACATTCCTATACTAGCATCTTCCATCCTCCATTTTTGCTGCTGTTCGTCAGTGCCCTGCTATGATGGCCCGAATTCTTGACTATCCAAGTGTCACTAAATAAAACTTAATTCTTTCATAAGAACTAAAATAAGAACATGAAATAATTTTTATTTTTCGTCAATAAGTAAATAAATTTAGGTTTTACCATGTAGTAGCGAAAAATGAAAGCAAGAATATTATTCCAACATAACAACTATATTTGAAATTCAAAGTTGTGTTTTAAAACAAAAAACAATTCATTAATCCTAGCCTCATTGCTATCTCCATGTTGATTGCCTCCAACCATCAAATGCCTGAAAGGGAAAATTATCGTTGAGTGAGATTTATAAAATCTCAATAAGTACACCGTGAATTATTATTGTGTATAATTTAAAAGAGCGTAATAATCATAATCAACATAATGGAGACACAAGAATTTTACCGAGCATAGATGGTAAGAGTTTCTATGTGTAGTTCTACTAAACTCCGGTCCCCTTAACATAATCATATTCATATCATACCATATGGGACCCATAATAATTTTCTTGAAATTCATTACATAACAATAATTCAACATATGTAGCATACTTACTGTGATGTTTGAAAGAAAGAGTAATAGAGACTTGACCCATCTACAATTTCCACCTCGGCTTATGAATGTGTATGTATATATTATTTGGACTAAAAAATATAATAGTGGGTGGTAGTATGTGAATGTGAATGAGGGGTTTAAATATGACAAGATTAAACATTCATCTTTTAGGAAAAATTCATAATAGTAGAAATTGTTCCTTGAAATTTGTTAAATAATCAAGAATCTCTCCATCATTCCTGCATTTATGCATTCACACTATACATTACCTTATGTTTGGCCAATCAAGCATAAATCAATAATTTTCCTATGTAAGTGTTTGACCAAGAATTCAATCAAAAACATGTGGAAATCAACAGTTATTGTAAGTTTGCTACAAGTACCTAGAAGGTGGATTAATCCTCAAATGAGCCCCTAAATTTTCAATTTTGTGCGGATATTATACCTGTCCTTTTTGGCTGTTACAAAGATTCCCTACACAACAAAAACGCAAGTGAGTCACAAGGATGGAGCATTTTATATCAGAAGGAGGTTAGATCCCGTAATAACAATTTGTCATCATTTAAACTTCCGGTAGAAGAAAAAAATATACAAATAATCCTTTTATCAAAATTCTCCTGATGATGCACTGTCATAACACATTTATCGAAATGGATAAGATAATCTAGCACAAAATTAGTTGATAAATGTTAAGTACGATATACCAAACATGTTCTAAAGTAACTTTCTTAAACGTGATAAATATTAGGAGGGCGATAGTTCAATTTATTTATAGGAGTGCTTGATGTAAATGAAGCTAGCATTTTATAAGCATTAGCAAAAAATTGATAAATGGATAGTACTTATGAGTCCCAAGAAATGTTGTGATAAAAAGTTATTCAACCAATTATAAACATTTTATAAGCATTAGCAAGACATGGCTAAATTTCATGAGCATTATGCCATCCATCAAGTTTCAAATTAACATCGAAAACCAAAGAAAAATCACAGATCAGAAATTAATGGTTTTTGATAAAACAACTAACGTGTGAAGGGAGGGAGGGGAGATAACAACTATATTTAGTAGCTGCAAATCATTTGTAGGTGATACTATCTATTTACTTTAAAACAAAAAGAAAAAGGAAAAGGAAAGAAAAGCATAACCAAATTGGAAAATTGTAGTGAAAAGTAAAAACAATTTATAATAGAGCTAAAAAGTCAAAAGAGAAAAGCAATTGCAGTAAATATGATACATATTTAATCAGTATAAAACTCAAACTTCTGTAAATGCGTAATGACAGTGCATCATCAGGAGAAACATTTAACACAAGGATCACCGACACGAACATGTCCAGACGATGATCTTGAGATTTCATCTCGAAACCGTCTTAAGTGCCATAAGGACTGAATTCCAAAAATGATTAAATATCTTAGGCCTAAGGAAAATTATTACTAGAGAAGAAAACAATACAAAGAGGACGAAAAATATTTGGAAACAACGAAGGAAAGGATGTTCTCTAATACCAACCTGTATTATGACATTGACAAAGCAATTATATTCACCTAGTTCATTTTTCAGACCAGGGAATGTATCTATTACATTGATGCCATCGGCTATGAGTTCACGTGACGAACAGTCCAATTCACCCATTTCAAGAAGCTTTTTTTGTTGCAACTCTGAAGTCCAAATCAAAAGCAATATTCAATATGCATGGTATGTGTCTGATGTAAAATATCGAATACAATGTTGAGAGAATAAACAAAGCAACTTCATCTGCTTAAGGAAACAAAAATCTATGTTTCTAAATTATATTTTGTATTCTTTTCTTAGTTACAATATATTCTAGAATTGTTAAATATTGTTAGGAGTTGTGTCTTTATACATTTCGAGTAAAATAATAAGCGGACACAAGCAGTTGGACAACATACCAACACTTCAGATTTTGGATAAAGTCAGACAACGAATTCCTACAGGAACTTGATAATCTTAATTAGGCTGAATACAATCTTATAATAAAGGGTGGAGTTGTAAAGTTAATCGAGTATAGTTCAGGTAAATAAAGAGTTTTTCCTATTCAGCGTGACTCTCTATGCACCAGATAATCTATATAATTTAGCCTGTGAATATTAAATTGGAAGATCTGAACAGAATATTGTGATTTTCAAATGTTTTTAGTTCTATCTGTTGTGCTATGGTTTCACTGATCAATTCGACTGTTTCAACATTCAAATGCAAATTGAATTTTAGGTAAATAAAGATCACAAAACAAGAAGCTGTGAAAAATCAAATTGGGATAACACCATTAGTTGGAAAGAAGTAATGTACAAACCTGCGTCCCCATCGAGAGTGTGCTTAGATCTCAGGTGACCAACTTCATCAATTTCTTTTTCTGAAGACATAGGTCGCTCAATGTGATGCTTCTGTTTTGCCTCATTTTCAATCTCTCTCATATTCCAAAGTTTCTTCAAGCTTTCTTTCCTTAAATTCAAATTTGATTCTATGTTTATATTCTTCAGCTTCATGATCATCCCCATCCGGAGCACTTACACGTAATCTGCAGTGATATCAGGCATACAACATATTTTGCAAATGTATTTAGATGAATTAAGTAAAGAACTTGCACATACATAGGCTTTCTGGTAAAAGAGAGACATATATCTCTTCAGATGATTGACTGCAAACCCTATGAGGCTGATTTTCATCAATGGCCCGTAATAATAATAATCAGACTAAACAAATGTTTTTCTCAACTCTATAAAATATTTATTAACACTCAAGTTACTTTTTATTCATACATTTCGAGGGACCCACAAGCACTACAACTTATCCAACACTCATTTCTATCTGTTTATAATTTCAGCCATTTATACACTTCCCAAAAATTCTCTAAATGATGACTTTGTTATCATCCAGTTCTTATCTAAGCTAAATAACCCATAGAAGTTTAACCTTTGAATCCTTGTTTCTCCTACTCTTCTTGCTCCTTTTGTTATCCTTCATCCTCTTATTCATAGGACTTAAATAATCCAATCTTCCACTAAAACTTTGTTCAGAATCAACAGCAAGTACCAAAAGGAAGTCGAAATCGAAGAATCCCACTTTTTAGTGTCCAAAAATATATATTAATCAAGTATAACTAAGCCCTCAAACTAAAACCAACAGCACTGCTTATAAATAGACTGGCTAATAAAAGTCACTTCGAACAACTAAACCCACGACTTTTATGTAAGGTTCAGCGAAATAGAAGTTTCTATTCCTACATTTCCAGTATGGGCATAGAAAAAACCTGAAGAGCAATCTCTGGTCGTATATTCCTCCCTGATCCAGATCATGTACTTTGCAGTTCTGATTTACAGAGTAAATTAAACGCCCACCACATACTTTACATAAATAAATTAATTTAAAGTTCATATCGGTTTTACATTACAAGGGATCTAGAAGTTAGATCTAGACAATTTATGTAAAATAGAACTAGAGAAGCACTGAGTTTCACTAAACAATCCTGTAAATTAAATAAACAAATAAACTCGAACTCAAGGAATTAATGGGAAATGACACTACAATTTATTGGGTACAAAATTCAACTAAAAAAAATGATCTTGAATTGAGACCAAATGAATAAGTATAGTACTGAACTCAAAACCAACAAAAAAAAACGACATTTTCCCAAATTAACGTTACAAAAACAGACTTGACACGTATCCTTATTCCCGTATAAGCAATAATGAAATGGAAGCAGCAAATAGGTAGAAAGAACCCACAAGCCAGGTGCAAAGGGAAGACGAAGATCGTAAGGAATGGAACCGCCATGGAAGTCTTTGAGAGTCATCATTGCTTTCTTCTTTGACGTTTTCCCTCTACTTGCTTCTCGAAATCTCTCAGTAAATTATTAACTATATATGAATCTATACACAGGAGTATATTTAAATAAAAACCCTCCTCCCCCAATTTGATAATTTATTGAATAAATCTGTATAAAAAATCATTTGATTAAACACAGATCAAATCATAATCAAACTCATTTCTCTCTATATATATAGATATTGTTACGCCGCTATCTGAACCACCTCGAAATGTCTACCACCACACACTCCGATCTGCTAGACACCCTCCCGAAGTGGTTCCAAAGTGATCTCCCCAATGTCAACGGCCTGCTATCACACTGTGAGACATAGGTTATCCTGCTGAACTAACCGAAGCGCCCTCGCCCCTGAGGCCGAGGCGAAGTGCACTCCGGTGACCTCTGTCAGAAGATCCGCCGCCAATTTGAGAAGGAAATTTTTGCCAAGATACTTTCTGCCCCTAAGGTTTAAATTGATTTGATATCTCCATGATGCTAGTTGATGTGACTTATCAACTTTATGTCAACTCAATTTGGGAGAAGCAATTACCCGCCCACTCTACAGACGTGGCTGATTGACGCCTATGAGCAGACACTTCATACCGTCAGATGTATACACGTGCCCCACATCCAACGGTTCATCCCACCTATAAATGCCCAAGGGTTGGTAAGAGGCAAAGGTAATGAAACTCTTCCTACATAGCACTTCATAGAAAGCATATATATATTTTCTCCTCCCCCTTATTATTTTGCACAATCCCTGGGTACTGTTCCGACCCCCTAAACCTGACTTGACCGTCGGAGTGTATACGGTCGCCACCACCCCCGCTGGTCCCGGCCGTATGCGTCTGACCGTACATTGATTGTGCGTGGGTAGGAATACGTGGAGTGGCTCTCGGTTTGCCCTGTAGAAGGTCCAATTTTCGAGTTCAATAGATTGGCACCGTCTGTGGAAAGCACTTCCAGTTCAAAGTTCTGCATTCTCCACCGGAGAAATTACCGAAAAACAAGCGATTAACCCTGAAAAGGACATGTTCTTGAAAAAGAACAAAGTGGAGTTATAATCCAAGTTCTCACCACCCTTAAAAAACGAGATAGGATGAGTTTAGCCATGACGACGACAACCCCATGAGAGAGGCCTCTGAAGAGGAGGTGCTCCATAACAATGTTACTCACCAGAGACCCCAACACCGGCGTTGTCGAGGTGAAAGAACGGCCATGCTCACTGAAGGAATGGCTCAAATAGCTGCGGGCATGAGAGACGTCACAGCTCAGAATATGGCGATGCATGAACTTCTCATGCAAGCCCGAGGTCACCAGGGCTCTCAAATGCCCCAAGGATCTTACCCAGTGCAGGAAGCCCCATTATCTCGTTCTCGAGGCCATACCAGTCAGCACAGAGAACGCCCCCTCGAAAGAGAAGTGGGTGCCGAAACCACATCTTATGTACAAGGGAACCAGCCATCAGAACCATACTTGGAGGACAATTTCCCTCAAGAATATGAGGAACAGAGGTCGGTAAGTGTCTTCGATCGGATAGGGGAGGATCCTAGCAATAGGGTCCGCCCAGTGAGAAGATCAGTTCGGCCAGATCAGGAACAAGAACAGGCTCCTCCTCCTCCTAGAAATAGGAGGGAGAGGAAGAACCTAGTCGATTGGGGGAGTCGAGGAGAAGCACCTCCACCTCCCCAGAACATTCAAGATGATGAAGGGTCAGATGGGCCTGTCAGTCTTATGAGATTGATGATGATGATGATAACCTCCCTTTCTCAAGGGAGATCCGAAACTTCCCAATGCCAGCAAATTTCATGCCCCCTAAAATCCCCAAGTATAAAGGAAAGGGGGACCCGAAGAAACACCTCACCAAGTGTATGACATAAATAAGTCTCAGAGGAGCCTCGCCTGCTTTGAAGTACAGGGCCTTCCATTTAACACTAGACAGAGCCGTCGAAGTGTAGTGCAGTAGGCTTCCTCCCCTAAGCATTAGAAGCTGGCCAGATTTGAAGAAGGCATTCTTGAATCAGTATCTCTCACGAAGAGAAGAAGAGGCCCCAGTGCAATGCCTGCAAGACATGAGGTAGGCCCCTGGAGAGACGCTGAAAAGCTATCTCGCAAGGTTTACGGACGAAATCACATACTACGAACAGGTCACTGACAGAGAAGCCCTTTCAGCCCTAAAAGGCGGCCTCAACATGAACACTTTGTTCTAGAGGGAAGTGCGCAGCAAGAATCCTTCCACCTATGAAGAACTCGTGGAAATGATGAGAGTTGAAATCGTGAGTGAAGAAATGACTGATCACCAAAATTGTGCCGCGCAGGGACTCCCTTCACCTCAGAGGCAGGTAGGTCCAGGACATGTAGCACACCTTGTTACTCAGCAATGGACTCAAGCAAGACACACAATAGCTCCCACCTTCAGACAGGCACTGGCTTCCGCCACACTAAATGTAGTGCCGGTATTGGCATATGAAAATGCTCCTAGCGAAGCGAGGCCATCTGGAAGAAATGATAGTAAGAAAAAGAAGAAGAAGCGATCAAACAGGCCCTTGGAAGGGGCAAGGTTTTGCACTTTCTATCAACTCTATGGGCATGACACCAACGAATGCAGAGATGCTCCTCGACGTCCATACCGGACCGATCCACACCCCTCTAGTATGAATGAATATCCTCACAGATCTGTCTCCCTGAACAGGGGAGATTGAAGGCACAGAGAGCAGTCATCCCGGAGAAGAGAATCAAGGGACCGAGGAGAGTCCAGGCAGAGAGATCAAGCCCCATTTTCTAGGGGCCAAATCATCAGGAAAATTGACACCATCATTGGGGACCCCACGTCGGTGGCAACACCAGGAATGCCCAAAGAAATTATACAAGGGAAGCAAAGGACCAACCAATGATCACTCACATTGTCAATGAGTCCCAAGAGGCCAGCAGGATGGCCCCAATTACCTTCTCCCAGTAAGATGCGCAAAGAGTTCACCATCCCCATTGCGATGCACTGGTTGTGAGAGCCGTAGTAGCCAGAAACAGGCTCAAACGCATGCTCGTCGACAATGGCAGTTCGATGAACATATTGTTCGGCTCCACCTTTGACAAAATGCAAATTTAACATGGGTTGATCCCCATGACCGACTCACTATTCGGATTTACTGGGGACAGCATTGTCCCACGAGGGCGGATCACTCTGCTCGTCGAGATGGGTTCGGCATCCCTAGTGGCCCAACACTTCATGGAATTCTTAGTGGTAGACCACAGATCAACCTATCATGGAGTATTGGGCAGACCCGCTTTGAAAGATCTTTGGGCCGTCACATCCATCCATTACTTGTGTATGAAATTCCCAACTGAACATGGGATTGCAACGGTCTGAGGCGATCAGATGGGCTCCAGGGCATGCTACTTAAACTCGTTGTGAAAGTCGGAGCCCCGAACTGTTAATGTTATCCTAACTGAGGTTCCCACTGAAACTAGTACAGATGTGGAAATGCTCGACGTCCCTGAATAAGGGCATAACTCTAAACAAGAAGAAGACGTCGACATGGAAGAGGCCCCAAACAAGGGCACCCTCTTGATGAGTTAGATCCCCGAATAATTGACTCTGAACCAAATGTAACCCCAATGGAAGAACTGGAAATTTTCTCCGCCGACTTAGAAGACCCCAGTCAGGTCTTGTGTATAGGAAAGGCACTGTCCCCTGAAGCGAAAGAAGAGATGATAAGCTTCCTGAAAAGGAACTTGGATTTTTCGCTTGGAAGCATGAAGACATGGTAGGAATAGGTCCAAGGATCAGTTGCTACCATCTTAACATCAACCCCTCTTGTGCTCCCCATCGATAGAAGAGACGTGCCCTCAATCCAAAGAGGTACGAGGCACTGAAAGACGAAATAAACAAACTTAGCCGCAGTGGTTTAATAAGGGAAGCCATCTACCAGAAGTGGATATCCAACTCGGTCTTGGTGAAAAAGCCCATCGAAAAGTGGAGGGTGTGCGTAGACTTCACAAACATGAATAAGGCGTGCCCTAAAGACAGCTTCCCACTTCCAAGGATAGACCAACTTTTGGATTCCACTGCTGGACACGAACTGCTGAGCTTCATGGATGCATACTCAGGGTATAACCAGATACCCATGTTTCGACCTGATGAGGAAGCTACGTCGTTTATTACAAACAGAGGTCTGTACTACTACAAAGTTATGCCCTTTGGATTGAAGAATGCCGGAGCTACATATCAAAGGCTTGTCAACATGATATTTGTCGAACTCATTGGCAAAACCATGGAGGTCTACGTGGACGATATGTTATTCAAAAGCCTCCAGGTAGCCGAACATGTAAGTTACCTCCGCCAAACTTTTCAGATACTTAGGAAATATAAGATGAAGTTGAATCCCCTCAAATGCACCTTTGGAGTGGCTTCGGGTCAGTTCTTGGGATATATTGTCAATCAAAGGGGAATTGAAGCAAATCCAGTAAAAATAATGACCTCGCTAGAGATGAGGTTACCTCAGAAACCAAAGGAGGTCCAAAGCCTCAATGGTCGGATAGCCGCACTCAGTCGCTTCATCTCCAGAGCCATAGATAAAAGTTTGCCTTTCTTCAATATGCTTAAGCAAGGAAAGAAGTTTCAATGGACTTCTGAATATAAGGAAGCTTTCCAGGCGCTGAAAAAGCACCTCGAAGAGGCACCCCTCCTGTCAAAACCTCAACCAGATGAGTCACTACTGCCATACTTAGCGGTTTCGAACGTGGTGGTCAGCCCCGTCCTAGTCAGAGAAGAAAGTGAGTGCCAGCTGCCAGTGTACTACGTCAGCAAAGCACTTCTCCCAACTGAAACACGCTACCCAGACATGGAGAAACTGGCACTCGCCCTTATCACAGCCTCAAGAAAACTGAGGCCATACTTCCATTCCCACTCAATGGAAGTTCTCACCAACTTCCCATTGAAGCAGGTGATGCAGAAAATAGACGCATTAGGACGCCTACTAAAATGGGCAATCGAGCTCAGTGAGTTCGATCTATAGTTTCGATCTCGACACGCCATCAAAGGCCGGGCCCTTGCAGATTTTATGATTGAGTTTGCC